CGGGGTGGGAGTGGCCAGGGCTGAGGGCTGGCCTCACTGTCCTGCCCTCATGAGGCTTGGGGGTGCTATTCAGGTAGGATGGGAGGGTTTTCATTTTCAAAAGAAACATTTTGGTTGCTGCTTGGAAATTAAGTCTAAGGGGCAAGAGTGCAGCCGGGTGCTGGGTGGCTAGAGATGGGGCCGGCTGTGTGTGGGGGCAGGAGGCCAGTCTTGGGCCCTAGTGGTTGGAGGTGCCTGGATGAGGAGGGGGGGAGGGTAAAGCCAGGGGCCCTCGCTCATCCGTTTGGGGGATTTGTACGCCGGTGGTGGCCCGTCTTCGTTTCTCATCAGCCCCGACTAGCCCTGTAGTTCTGTCCTCTCCTCAGAAGGAATGGCTGCAGGGCGAGGTCTCCTTCCAGGACGCACTCTGAGCTCTGGGCTGTTCAGAGAGCTCCCACCTGTCAGGGGCTTTTACTTCCGGTCCAGGCTGCGAGGGCTCCGCCCATGGGGGGCCTCGGCTGGCTTCTCCGGTGCAGGCTGCTCCCCTCCCAGCTCAGGGGGGGTCCCTGGAGGCCTGGGTGGATGGGGCGGCTGAGCCACTCTTCCCTGCTCTGGCTCACCAGCCCTCGCACAGCTTTCAGGTCAGGTTCAGGACGCAGCCTCGTTTTCTCTCACCCTGATGGGTCAGTCCTTGTCAGTTGTGCCTCGGGTGGCATGACCTTGACCCTTGCCCTCTTCCTTCCCTAAGGGCCTGCACTTCAGCTGCGGAGAGGACGGACGGAGGTAAGAGGGGGCCGCTCACCAACAAATGCTCTCACCGCCACCCCCTTGGCCCCCCACCCACCATGGCTGGCACCTGGAGTGGGGGCGTAGCCAGCCCAGGGGGCAGAGGGTGGTGCTGAGTTCTGTCCCACGCCCATGGGCACCCAGGCCATGGCTCTGAGTGTGCTGACGCACCCTTCCAGCCCTCCCTTAGCCTGGGTTCTGCCTCCCCGGCCCAGGTCTGCCATGTGACGAGGGCTCTTCCGGGGAGGAGCAGAGGGTGCGGGGTCAGGTGACTGTGGGACTGGCAAGCAGCCTGGAGCACGTGCAGGGGGTCAGGGCATCTGTGTGCTGGGAGCGAGGCTGGGGCGGGTGCCGGGCCCGGTCAGTGCTCAGGCCGTTTGCAGGCGCCAGTAAGAGGGAGAAGCAGTACCAGGTCCACCAGGGCTTCGGAGACCGCAGGGACGGCGTCGTCAGCGCCCGCACCTACTTCTACGCCAACGAAGCCAAGTGTGACCACCACATGGAGACGTTCCTGCGCTGCATCGAGGCTTCAGGTGGGGCCGCGCTCTTGGCTGGCTGTCCCCCTGCCAGGCCCAGCCCAGCGACTGTGGAAATGCGCGCGCGGGAGGCCGGACCGGAGGGCACGCTCAGGGCTTCCTCTCTGTCTGGGCGGCCCTCACGGTTGTGAGGATAATCTGGGGTGACGGGGGGGCCACAGGCCAGGCTTAAGTCACGCTGGGGTCAGGCCTGCGTCCAGCAGCTCTGCGAAGAACACAGTTGCCCCCAGGAAGATGCCTCCCTCCCCTTTCCTGGGCACCGGGTGCCCGTGTGGACCTCTGGGAAGGCTTTCGGTGGCCAGTGGCCCCCAGATGTGGCAGGGGCAAGACGCTGGGTACACAAGGCACTTGGGTAGGCAATGGTTGCACTATTCAGGGAGCGCATGTCCATCTCCTCTGGTGGAGAACTCCTCATAGCCTTGCGACGGGAGCCCCTGCCGAGGGGGTCACTGAGGCCTCGTGTCCTGTAGTTGTTAGAGACCCGCCAGGTCACAGCGCCGTCCCCTGTGCATCCCCAGCAGCCTCCTGTGACGGGAAAGTGGGTCCCACACCTTCCGACGGGCCAGGATCAGAACAGTCTTCTAAGTGGTGCTGGGGAGACCCTGGCCAGTCAGGCAGACACTTGGCCGTCCAGTGCCCAGTGCTAGGGGCCCCTGTTTGCCTCCCTGCCCACTCTGCCTGGGAGCAGATAGGAGGCTCCGATAGAAGCAGAGACGCGCTCTGGAAGCCATAAGCCAGATACAAATGTAGTGATTGAGCCCCTTCCGCGCTCCAGCCCACGTTCTGCTCTGCGTTTGTGTTTGCGAGCCCCCGTGGGCAGCTGGGGGCTGATGGCAGGGGAGAGGAAGCAGCAGGGAGAGGGGTGGCCATCAGGACTATGTAGGAATGGGCAGGCCTCCCCACCGCCTTCCTGACCCACATGGCGAACGCAGATGAGTCACTGTCCCCAGGGGGTGGGGCGTGTGGAGGAGCTGTGTGCCCGCTGGTTCTGGGTGAGCACAGCTCCTGGTCCCCTCCCACCCCTCTCCGGAGCCTGAGGGCTCTTCCTGTGGCTTCCCCAGGTGGAGCCAGCGATGACGGCTTCTCAGCCATCAAGCTCACTGCGCTGGGGAGACCCCAGTTTCTGGTAAGTGCTGGAACCTTCCACGTGCAGAGAGAGTTTGCAGGAACTGCAGGCTACCATGAGCACTGAGTGAAAGCTCCTGTGCCAGTACCTTGGGGCTGGGAGCCAAGCACACAGGTGGGATGGGATGGGAGGGGGTGGCCCTGGGGCTGTGTGGGGGCTCTGGGGGTCGGGAGCTGGGCATGCGCCCGTGACGGCAGCTCAGGCCCGCATTTGCAGCTGCAGTTCTCAGACGTGCTGACCAAGTGGAGACGGTTCTTTCACCAAATGGCTGCGGAGCAAGGGAAGGTCGGGCTGGATGCCATGGACACAAAGCTGGAGGTGGCGGCACTGCAGGTGGGCAGCCCTTCCCTGGTGGTGTGAGTAGACGGGTAGATACTGGGGGGGCTGGGGAGGCACCCTGCCCAGGAGAAACAGCCAGGCGGTATCTAAGGTGGGTTCCCAGAGCTGCTCCAGGGCCCGCAGCCCACCCTGAAGCTGCTAGGGTTTGGTGGGGAAGGAATCTGACCAGAGGCTGCGGTCACACTGGACCGGAGGGCGGAGGGGCTGGCCCTGCAGGTAGCAGAGCTCTGCAGAGCTGCAGGGACAGGAAAGGGGCATCCGGAACCTGCGGGGAGGGACCATCTATGGAGCAGAAACACAGCCGGAACTAACAGTGTAACCAAGTCAAAATAGATCACAAACCGACAGGCGGGAGACACGGAATGGGAGTGGGTGGGGCCGGGGGGCCCGGGACAGACGCCTTCTCACTTCTCCAGGAAAGCGTGGCGAGGATGGGCATTGCCTCCCGGAAGGAGATTGAGGACTGGTTCAGAGCAGAGACCCTGGGCGTGTCCGGGTAAGAGCAGCGCCTGCCTGAGATGGGCATCTACCCGGTCAGGCGTGGTTCCAGCCGAGTCCCAGCAGCCTCTCCCAACCCTGGTCACCCCCCTCAAGTCTGTGGGCCTTGGGGTGATGGCGCCAAAGAAACTGCTGCGCTGAGGTGCACAGGACGGGAGCTGACAGGCAACTGGGATCCATGGGGGAGGGCCGGCAGCTCGTGACTGCAGCTGATCAGGAGTACCGCCCTCCTGGGCCCGCCCGCTGACAGGTGAACGGCCAGGGCAGCTGAGCCCCGCAGGGCCCCGGGCTTCCTCCTCAGGGGCGGGGGCTGGGACTGAGGTCTCTGTGGGGCCTCCGTGCAAGCCCTGAGGTTTCAGAGCTGCCGCTGCCCCGATGCAGCACACATTCATGTTTTGGGTTTTTGTGTGATTATAGAATTATACACCTGAAACTAAATAGTTTAATTGACCAATGTCATCCCAATAAATTCTATGAAAAAGAAGTGTTATTTCCTTTTCCTTTCTATTTGCGTGGATCTAACATGGAAAGAAAATCATCACTGGTATTTTTTAAAACATGTTTTTACTGATTTTAGAAAGAGGGCAAGGGAGAGAGAGAGCAAGGGAGAGAGAGAGTGAGAGAGAGAAACATCGATATGAGAGAGAAACAGCAAGCAGTTGCCTCCTGTATGCATCCCGGCCGGAGATCAAACCCGCAACCTGGGTATGCACCCCACCAGGAATCGGAACCTGCGACCCTTGGGTGCACAGAACGACACTCCCACCGAGCTACACTGGCCAGGGTTGGTTTTCATTTTTCAAACAGAGAAAGACATTTATATTTTATCTGACTTTTGAAACTGAACACTGAGGCGGGTTCTGCAGGGACTGGGTTTCGGGGTGCTCTTTTAGGGAATGGACTGGTTTGGGGTCTAGGCCCCCACACAGATTCTAGCTGCTGCCACCACTCTGCTGACCGCCCTTCTCCCGCAGGACCCTGGACCTGCTGGACTGGAGCGGCCTCATCGACAGCAGGACCGAGCTCTCCAAGCACCTGGTGGTCCCTAACATGCAGGTGACGCCACCCCGCTCGCCAGTGAGCCCTGTCCCAGAGGAGGCTGGGCCGGGAGGGGCCATGTTCCTGGGCCAAGACTACTGTCCTCCCTGGCCCCACAGGACCCCATGGTCCAGGGCAAGGATGTCAAACTCACAGCCTGTGTGCCACATGCCTCATTTATGGTATTTGGCCTGTGTTAGCCTTTGAGTTTGACATGCCGGGTTTAGGGGGAAGCAGACAGACCCACTGGTGCCCCATAGAGTGGGACAGGGACATCTGGGGAGCCTTCCCATGTCATCTGTCCTTGCATGTTGGGTCACCCCAAACCTCACGGGCCTGAAAGGACTACGCTCATATGATTGCCTTCCCAGGCTCCAGGTGGTTCTCGGGGGTTTCCCTTGCGGTTGTACTTGGAGTGGCAGAGGCAGGGGTCAGTGTGGAGGGTCCCCACTTGCATGGCCAGCGGCCGGCCAGGGCTTCCTCACTGTGTGGCTGCTGGTTCCCAGTGCAAGTGTCCCCAGGGCCAGGCGGAAGCGGTCACCTTTCCTAGCCTCGCCTCAGAATCCCACATCTCCCCGCCTGACTCTGTTGATTAACAGTCGGTCAGGCACTAGGCGGCCCATGTTCAGGGGAAGGAATGAGACTCCACTTGCCCCAGGAGGGTGTCGGGAATGCGGAGGCCGTGTTTGAAATCGCCTCTGAAGCTGGATATGGAGGAACAGCAGAGGCAAACACTGCCTTCCACACACCTCCAGCCTCAGCCCTGAGGGTCCAGCCTCCAGCTGAGACACCACGCAACACCCCACTCCTCCTCAGAGCGTCCTGGCCAGGGTTAGCGGGCAAGGGGGGAGAGCAGAGGGCCCCAGTGCCACGCAGGCCTGCAGGGTGTGTGCCAACCTGCCCCAGCTCCCTGCAGGGCACCACCTGGGGCTGGTGCCTCTGTCCCATCAGTCTGTGCTGCATGGCTGAGCCCTTCCTGGTGATTAGAAGGGTCAAGGGTAGCCTCCTTAGCCCTGTGTGGGAACAGAAGGGGGACGTCCGAGGATCCTGGGAGGTTGAGGGAGCAAACTTGGTGCAGGCCTGACCTGTGAGGTTACACCTCCAAGTGGCCTTGTCCCTGGGTCACCAGCCAGCCTCAGGGCGGGGCGCTGATCTTCATGTGCAAACGGTGGAGGAAGGGCCTGGATGAGGGGGTCTCGCTGGTTCTGGGGACCAGGCAGCAGGTATTGGTAGACTCTGGGCAGGGGAAGCACAGGTTTTGAGAGGGCTGGTCCAGCACCTGACACCTGCCCGTGTGCGCCCTCAGACAGGGCAGCTGGAGCCTCTGCTGTCGGGGTTCACCGAGGAGGAGGAGCAGCAGATGAGGAGGATGCTGCAGAGGATGGATGTCCTGGCCAAGGTGGAGGCCTGGGATGTGCCCGGGGGCTGGGGGGCGCCTGTCTCACCTGAGCCCCAGACAAACCTTCTCTCCCACCCCTGACCTCTAAGAAAGCCACCAAGGCGGGGGTGCGGCTGATGGTGGACGCGGAGCAGACCTACTTCCAGCCGGCCATCAGCCGCCTGACGCTGGAAATGCAGCGCAAGTTCAACGTGGAGAAGCCGCTCATCTTCAACACGTACCAGTGCTACCTCAGGGTACGTCCGGCCCCTGAGCCTCCCGCCCTTCAGTGATGGCAAGCGCCCACCTGAGCCCCCAGGTGGAGGAGGGAGGTTGGTTGATCCAGGTCCCAGACAAGGGTGTTGAAGGGGCGGGAGGAAGACGAAGGAGCTTGTTCAGGGTCCACTTAATGTCTTTAAATCCCAGATGTCAAAGCCTTCACGAATGACCGTTTTTGTAAGAATTCGATGAAAGCTCTGGGCCTTTGCCTAGAATTTTGCATGTCCCCCAGTAATGCTTCAGGGTGATCCCTGAGCACAAACCTAGAACGGGCTCCTTGGGGACCAGTGAGGTGTTCAGAGGCCGCGGGTGGGGGTGAGGGGTTATCTAGGCAGCCTGAGGAGACACATATACAGTGGCTGCTGGCACCTGCTCTGTCCCCTCAAAGGACTGCCCAGGCCAAACAGAAGAGGCTGCAGGTACCCCCCGCCCCCATCACCATTCCTTGTGGACAGAGGTCAAAGGGCCTCCCTCACCCACCTGCCTCTGCCCCAGTGCCCCTTGCTGACTGTACCCTGGATGCTCCTAGGCCCAGACAGGTCCTAGGACCAGCAGGTCACACTCAAAGGCTCACACAGGCCAAATGAATGAGGCGTGAGGCCCTCGAGTTCGACATGCTTGCCCTAGAAGTGCTGGCTGGAGGGGCTGACCTAGTTGCTGACTCTTGGCCCTGACCCTGCAGGACGCCTATGACAATGTCACCCTGGACTTGGAGCTGGCTCGCCGCGAGGGCTGGTGTTTTGGAGCCAAGCTGGTGCGGGGTGCCTACATGGCCCAGGAGCGGGCCCGCGCTGCCGAGATTGGCTATGAGGACCCCATCAACCCCACGTACGAGGCCACCAACGCCATGTACCACAGGTGCGCCCGTCCTTCTTAGGTCCCAGAGCCGCAGGGCCACCTGGGGAGGGGAGAGGAGGGAAGGGAAATGGAGGGAAGGGGAGGGAGAAAAGGGCAAGGGAAACATACCTCCTTGGTGCTGGAGCTGACATGATGGGCCCCTATCTGAAGGGGGAGCAGCCCTGGAGAAGGCAGCTTCTGGTAAGAGCAAGCCTTTTGCCCTGAGGCCAGAACTGATTGTTTTCTGCTTTTGATTTACTTTTTCAAAAACATTAAGGTCGCTTTAAAAATGTCTTTATTGATTTTTTAGAGAGAGGAAGGGCGAGGGATAGAGACCACACCCCCTATTGGGGACTGAGCCTATAACCCGGGCATGTGCCCTGACCGGGAATTGAACTGGTGACCTTAGTTCGTGGGTCGACTTTCAACCACTGAGCCACACTGGCCAGACGGCTTTTTTAATATAGAAACGTCGACTCACAAAACGGAACTGGCCTGGGTCCCGGCAGCTCCTGTCGGTGGCCCTCCCGCTCTGTACTCACCTTATTTCCAGGGACCATCACGGTCTTGCGTGCTGCGTTTGTCTGGTGATAGTTCATGCAGGACGGACAGGCTGGCTGCGTGCTGTTTCTCTACGAGGTGGTGCAGATATGTTGCAAATTCAAAGACCCCCTGAGGGTCTCCCTCACTGACCTGCCTTTCGGCCCCGGCAGCGCCTGCTTCCTTCCAGGAGCTGCATGCGCCTCTCATGGTCGGCATGTGCGCTGTCTTCTGCCCTCGCTTTGCGGGTAAAGCTGTCTCTGGACCCCCCAGGTCGGCGTGCAGACCGTTAACGGCCAAGGCGGTGCCTGTGCTCATGTGTCCCTGCGAGCTCTCAGGTGCTTGGTGTCCTGCGTTAGTTAGAAGGGTGACCCAAGGCTCAGCCTGTCCGTCCTTTGTGCCCAGGGGTGAGGACGAGCTGTGGCTGGCAGTGGAGTTGCTGGGTCCAAGGACGTGCACCCTGCCCAGCTGAGGAGACACATATACAGTGGCTGCTGGCACCTGCTCTGTCCCCTCAAAGGACTGCCCAGGCCAAACAGAAGAGGCTGCAGGTACCCCCCGCCCCCATCACCATTCCTTGTGGACAGAGGTCAAAGGGCCTCCCTCACCCACCTGCCTCTGCCCCAGTGCCCCTTGCTGACTGTACCCTGGATGCTCCTAGGCCCAGACAGGTCCTAGGACCAGCAGGTCACACTCAAAGGCTCACACAGGCCAAATAAATGAGGCGTGAGGCCCTCGAGTTCGACATGCTTGCCCTAGAAGTGCTGGCTGGAGGGGCTGACCTAGTTGCTGACTCTTGGCCCTGACCCTGCAGGACGCCTATGACAATGTCACCCTGGACTTGGAGCTGGCTCGCCGCGAGGGCTGGTGTTTTGGAGCCAAGCTGGTGCGGGGTGCCTACATGGCCCAGGAGCGGGCCCGCGCTGCCGAGATTGGCTATGAGGACCCCATCAACCCCACGTACGAGGCCACCAACGCCATGTACCACAGGTGCGCCCGTCCTTCTTAGGTCCCAGAGCCGCAGGGCCACCTGGGGAGGGGAGAGGAGGGAAGGGAAATGGAGGGAAGGGGAGGGAGAAAAGGGCAAGGGAAACATACCTCCTTGGTGCTGGAGCTGACATGATGGGCCCCTATCTGAAGGGGGAGCAGCCCTGGAGAAGGCAGCTTCTGGTAAGAGCAAGCCTTTTGCCCTGAGGCCAGAACTGATTGTTTTCTGCTTTTGATTTACTTTTTCAAAAACATTAAGGTCGCTTTAAAAATGTCTTTATTGATTTTTTAGAGAGAGGAAGGGCGAGGGATAGAGACCACACCCCCTATTGGGGACTGAGCCTATAACCCGGGCATGTGCCCTGACCGGGAATTGAAATGGTGACCTTAGTTCGTGGGTCGACTTTCAACCACTGAGCCACACTGGCCAGACGGCTTTTTTAATATAGAAACGTCGACTCACAAAACGGAACTGGCCTGGGTCCCGGCAGCTCCTGTCGGTGGCCCTCCCGCTCTGTACTCACCTTATTTCCAGGGACCATCACGGTCTTGCGTGCTGCGTTTGTCTGGTGATAGTTCATGCAGGACGGACAGGCTGGCTGCGTGCTGTTTCTCTACGAGGTGGTGCAGATATGTTGCAAATTCAAAGACCCCCTGAGGGTCTCCCTCACTGACCTGCCTTTCGGCCCCGGCAGCGCCTGCTTCCTTCCAGGAGCTGCATGCGCCTCTCATGGTCGGCATGTGCGCTGTCTTCTGCCCTCGCTTTGCGGGTAAAGCTGTCTCTGGACCCCCCAGGTCGGCGTGCAGACCGTTAACGGCCAAGGCGGTGCCTGTGCTCATGTGTCCCTGCGAGCTCTCAGGTGCTTGGTGTCCTGCGTTAGTTAGAAGGGTGACCCAAGGCTCAGCCTGTCCGTCCTTTGTGCCCAGGGGTGAGGACGAGCTGTGGCTGGCAGTGGAGTTGCTGGGTCCAAGGACGTGCACCCTGCCCAGCTGTTTTCACTGCCAGATGGAGCGGTCAGGCTCCCCCAGCACAGGGAGCCCCTTTCCGGGCTCGAAGCTGCATCTGTCCTGGGCGCACAGGGCATGCGCCTCAGCTAGTTCCCCCGATGCCTAACCCCAGTGCTGCTTGCTTTTTCTTTCGTACTCACAGGTACTGAGAAGGCTGAGTGCTCCTTGTCTTGTCCTGGCACCATGGGTACCTCCAGGAGGAGCGGGCTTGCTGAGTGGCCCTGGGCCCACCTGTGGCCTTGGCCCGTGGGGAGCTCCGACCCAGGCTCACGTGCCTCTCCCCCCAGGTGCCTCAATTATGTCCTGGAGGAGCTGAAGAACAATGGCAAGGCGGAAGTGATGGTGGCCTCCCACAACGAGGACACAGTGCGCTTCACGCTGCGCAGGTAAGGTGGCCCCGCCCACAGCTGTGTGAGTGATCCCGGGTCAGGGAAGAGCTTGGCGAGACCCTGGAAGCATGTTCAGCAAACATGTCAAACTCAAAGGCTAACATGGGCCAAATGAGACATGTGGCCCACGGGCCGTGAGTTTGACATGCTTGGTGTGCAGTGTGCCCTGCCAGGCATGGTGGGTGTTTAGGGGAACATCTGTGGGACAGCGGGAAAGGCGGCTCTAGTGCTTCCCAGACCCTGCCCGCCAGGTCTTGCGAGGCATTGGCACTGCTGTAGCAAAGAGGCTATCTGCAGTTAATTTGGTTTTTAAAATGAATACCTGGCGAACCAAAGTTTCAAATTCAAAAAAATAAATGTCGTTAGGTGACTTAAATAGCTTCTTAAAATACACAAACGCAGGGTGGAATGCTGAAACCCCTCAGGAAACCTCTGATGCCTGGCTTCTTAGAGACAATTACTCCTAACATTTTACACGCATTTGAAATTTAACAGAGTCTGTTTTCTCTTTAAATGCCTGCCCTGTGGAGCAAAACTGTGGTGGGATCCTTACAAGTCAGATATAGGAAGCAGGTGAAGCAAATCCTTAAATGTTCCAGTATTGTTGCCATGTTCTTCCATCTTGTGTCTTAGCCCGAGCAGTGCCACACCAGGACCCGGGGTCCAAGTTCCCCACCTCTCCCCAGTCACTGCCTCCTGGGGCTTAGGCCCATGCACTGAGTCTTGCTGGTCCTCAAGTTTCCCAGGAGTAAAGCAGGGGCCCCCGTCCCACAGCAGAGGCACCCCGAGCCCAAGGCTTGCTGCTGAGTGGGGCTTCCTAAGGGGCAGGTGGGGTGAGGGCACTGCCTGGAGAGCTGACTCAACCCGTTCAGTCATGTCACCGCTCCTTTGTTAGGATGGTGCTGCCTTTTCCATCTGACATTGCAATGGAAACGGCGATTTCTAACGCACAGCAGTGGCAGGCACCTCCTGCTCCGGGGGCCAGGGAGCCTCGAGCAGCTCGGGCTTACCTTCCCTGGGAAGCGGTGTGGTCTCTGATCAGCCCCCAGGGACCTCCGAGACCCTGTCAGCTTTGACCAACTACCAACCCAGCACAAAACTCAGTGGCCAAACAGCAGTATGTTCTGTGGGCCTTCAGTGTGGACTGGGCTCCGCTGGGGCCGACTTGGCCCTAAATGGCCTCATTTGTGGCTGGGACGGGACAGCATCTCATAGCCGGTGTCCATCAGCCCCCTTCCACAGACACAATAGCCGCTGGGGGCTGGTGCCTGCTCTATGGGACAGAGCAGCCAGTGAGGGGTGACAAGTGGCCTGGTTGGGTGTGAGGGCTGGAAGCGTCCCCGAGCCACACCATGGGGTGGCTGCTGGGTGGGCCTGCCTTGCTGGGTCAGAGTACCACTACGGGAGGCTGGGACAAGCAGGAGGGAAGGAGCCACTGGGAGTGAGCACGGCAGGAGGGAGGTTGGCTTGGGAAGGAGGGAACTTAGTAGCCACGGGCTGAGGTGGGAGCTGAGGGCAGAGGCCTAGTCTGGGCAGGACAGAGCTTATAGCCCTGCAAGGAATGGAGGTTAGAGCATGTGGATGGGGATATGGGGGTGGCAGGGGGGCTCACCTACTGCCTTGCCTGGGTACAGGATGGAGGAGTTGGGTCTGCACCCCGCTGACCGCCAGGTGTACTTTGGACAGCTGCTGGGCATGTGTGACCAGATCAGCTTCCCGCTGGGTAAGCTGGGCCTCCCTGGAGGTGGGGTGTGGGCGTCGGGGTCAGGACTCACCACCTCTGCTTGTGCGTGCAGGCCAGGCGGGCTTCCCTGTGTACAAGTACGTGCCCTACGGCCCTGTGATGGAGGTGCTGCCCTACCTGTCCCGCCGCGCCCTGGAGAACAACAGTGTCATGAAGGGCGCCCGACGGGAGCGGCAGCTGCTATGGCAAGAGCTCAAGCGGAGGCTCTACACAGGCAACCTCCTCTACTGCCCGGCCTAGCGCCCACGGGCCACCTGCCACCAGACTTGGTTTCCCAGGGCCTCGGGCTGGGGTCTGGCTGGCCCCTAGGCCAATGCTGCTATAGCCCAGCCGCACACGGATTCACCTCTCCACACCCGAGACTCAGAACTGCTTCCTACCCAGGATGTGGGCACCCACGTACAGGCGGTCTGATACCTGCCGGAGCCACTGAGAAGGTCAGGAACTGCCCTTTGAGTGGGCACCGCCCCCATCTCTGCCCACCCCTGACCTTAGACCCGAAGGCCCACTTTCCCCAGGGTCTGTCCCACATACCTTGAGCCCCACAGGTGGGCCAGCCAGGCAGAGGGAGGTGGACTGGTCAATAAACCACTACTTCTGCAGCCAGGAGCCCTCCACGCCCTTTCCTGTGGGGCCCTCAGGTGGGGTCAGCAGAGAGGGCGTGGCTCCAAGGCCTGAGAAATCTCACCTGTCTCTGCCTCTCTCCAGTCATGTGTCCCTGGGGGCCAGGCCCACACTTCCATCCAGGCTGTACCGCAGACCCACCATGCAGGGTGCTGGACACCCCCAGCTCCGACCAATGCAGACAAGAGGCCCCAGGGATTGTGCGTGGTGCTTCCCCACCCTGGCCTCTCCCTCCCTCGCCCCCTTCCTGCTCCCTGTGCCCATGACCCACACCAGGCTTTTGTTGCTCCAATAGGAGCAGGCCCGTGGCTGCCACCCACTGCGTCCCTCAGCTGCCAGCTCCATAGGGCAGACTGGCTGCGCCCTAGTGGCCCAGGGAAAAGGTGATGGGCCTGGGGCTGCACGGGGACAACCCCAGGCAGGGGCCTCTGTGACACGGGGTGGGGGCACCCTCCGCAGGCCGTGGAGCTGCCAGGCGAGGGCCCAGCTGGGCCCTGGTCATGACAGACACCACAGAGCTGTCACACAAGCCACTTGCAGGCCACACCGAGGCGCCTTTATTTCTCTGGCTCACACAAGTGTTGGGCCGCGAGCCTCTCCTACTTGGGGGCGGTACCGACCAAGAACGGGGCCGAGACCAGAAATAAGCACAGAGCCTGGGGCTTGGCAGAGGTCGAGATGTGCTGGTGCCAGGGGCTCTAGCCCTACCCTCTGCTCAGCTCTGGTGCAGCCAGCCAGTAGGCGGGCCTGCTCCCCCTTCCCCACACCGCTCCAGCTTTAGGCATAAAACCCCCGGCAAAGGGGGGGCGGGGGGCAGACACAGCCGGGGTCCACCCGCCTCTCCTCAGAGGTGACCTTCCTGCAGGCACCTAGGAGGGTGGTGGACGTCGGGAAGACGAGCTCCTTAGCTTTGTGCCACGCGTGGCGACCAGGACAGGACTGTCTTCCCCAGGCAGGACGGGCAGGGGGTGACCGGCAGGGACCCCACCTGCTCACAGGGCCGCCTTCCCGGCCGGGCAGCCTCTCTGCTGCAGCTTCCGGATGAGCTCCAGCAGGTTCATCTGTAGTGTCAGCTCCTGGGATCCAGAGGGGCCACTGTGAGGCCAGAATGACACCGGGGCCCCCTTTGCCCCAGTAAAGGCCCAGCTAGAAGCCCCGCTCCCCAGGGCCCAGGAGCAGACCTCAGGGCCTAGAGCAGTGATGGCGAACCTATGACACACGTGTCAGAGGTGACACGAGAACTCATTTTTTTGGTTGATTTTTCTTTGTTAAATGGCATTTAAATATATAAAATAAATATCAAAAATATAAATCTTTGTTTTACTATGGTTGCAAATATCAAAAAATTTCTACATGTGACACGGTACCAGAGTTACGTTAGGGTTTTTCAGCATGCTGACACGCGGAGCTCAGAAGGTTCGCCATCACTGGCCTAGAGTGTGCCAGGCAGCGAGTCTGGCCACAGCCTGCCAGGGGCTTGGCACACACAGAGGTATGCCGGAGGGGGCCCCGAGGCGCCGTGGAGTTGGGGACGGTGAGCAGCGCCCCTGCATCTGTGGGCAGAGGCCGTGGTTCCAGCCTCCATGCTGAGCGCTGCACAGAAACCCTTCCTGGAGCCGAACTCCTCCCATTTCCCCTTCCACCGCGCACCCCAGGCCTCCCCACCCCCACTCATACCCCGCCGCTGCCTGGGCAACCAGCCCTACAACCCCAGACGGAATCTGGCCCTTCGGGATTAGGTCCCCAGGGCTGTGCCAGGCCCAGGACACTGACCTGCGGGTTGGTGGTCACGTAGAAGCCGGCAACGCCCGCCTTCTCCAGTGTGCTCTGCTGGTCCGCCACCTTCCGGTCCAGCTCCAGGATGATCTTCTGGTCCATGGCCCGCTGCTCCTCACGGATCCGGTGCTCCATCGCCTGCCACCGTGAGGGCAGCTCAGGGATGCAGCCTCCCTCCCCCGCCCAATACCTCCCACACAGGGTCCTGGCCTGCCACTGCCACCCTTCTAGAAGCCTGGGCTCCAGGACCACTGATGGCTCCCTTACTGCGCCTCACTGCCTTCTTGGCCACACCAGACCCCCCGAGGGCTTGGCTGCTCTCCCGCCAGGTGTCCTCCCTCGGCTGACCCAGCCGCACCCTGTGCTCACTGCTCAGGGCCACCATGAACTGGCAGATGCTGTTCCACCTCTGCTTCTGTCAAGTCGGCCACTGTCTCTGGGCCTCTGTGCACATTACTTCCCCATGGGGCTGCCTGAGACTCCAGCTCGGCACCTCCTCCCTGCACCCCCAGCCTTGAGATTGCCTCGGAACCCCACACCTGTCTCTGCATGCACCCCCATCATCCATGGCTGCTTGGTCACATTCAGATTTTCTGGTTGTCCCTGAGTAACCAGGGAGCAGGATGGGCCCCTGCCGACTCCCTGTCACCCCACCATTGCCCTTTCACCTCCAAGGCCATGGGCACAACGGCCCCTGCACAGGCCCCGCCCATCAGGAGCTGCAGTCTTGGGGAGCAGGTGGAGGGGATCGCACACTCTCTACCTGGTCCTGGCACTCCAACACCCCATGGTGAGAAGCCACATGTAAGAACTCTCCAAGCCTTCAGCAGCCCACCCCAGGCTGGGGCCCAGGACAGCCAACAGCTCCCAAGTCACCCTGAGCCCCGTCCGCAGAGCCCAGGCAGCGCCCACCCTGCCTGCACCCGTACCTCCTGCTCGCGCTGCTGAGCTGCCTGGAGCACGGGCAAGTTGTGGGGCCGGCAGGCCTGCTGGGCTTCCTGGTGCTTCTGCCGCAGTGCCTGCCTGAGCACTGGGAGGGAACAAGACCAGAGAGTCCATCAGGAAGCAGCAGGGGCGAGATGGAGGGGCCAGGGAACACCCCCACCTCAGGGCCTGCCCCACCTCAGCACCAAACTGAGGCCCAGGGCG